AAACTTTCTCTCTCCCGATCAGAAGCCTTGCTGCCGGATGTAGTTTATCATCATCCCTAGGATGATGACTGACACTGAATTTCTATTTTTTAAGATCAAAAGAATGTTTCATGAGAAACGACTACACAACAGATATTAGAATGTATTACATGAATATTGGAGACAGAAAGCTTGAGAGAGGTAGGTGATATTTTTGTTTACTCGTTTACTTATATTCCTTTTCATTGTATTTGTCATGAGAAGATTGTTTTTTTTTTAAAGAAAATGTAATGAAAAATTTTAAAAATCCATATAAATTAAGATGTGGAAAAAATGAACATATTCAAATTACAACAGGACATTTTTGATTAATTGGTTTCAGAGAAAAATGTAAACCTTTTTTCTATTGAAAATTATTAATAAGGTAAAATATTCCTGTTGAGTGGATGCCAACTTAAAATAAAATTCAGTTAACTTATAATTTATAAAGAAAGATACAAATTACACAGCATTCAAAATATATATCAAGTTATTAACATGTAAAGTTTCAGTTTTTAAGCATGTCGAGTTATTAACTTATTAGAAATTTTATAGCCTTCAAGATACATTCAAATAGAGCTGAACATTTTTCTGTTAAATATTCATGGGTATTCTTGTGTTTGCTACTACATCCGCATGCTATGTCTAGATTAAAGACAATTTATCAAGTAACAAATCTGTGTAGCAATCCAAGTAGCAGACTGAGCTAAAGTCATTCTAAGTAGTAAAAGGAGTCAGTTATAAATCTTCCTGTGATGAGTCTATTTCCTGTCATATGTAAAACTCTTTTCATAAAAAGAAACTGAACTAAAAACAAAACAAAGGGAAACCATTATTGTAAAAATCACCTGAACTATTTCTGGATTATAAAGATTTTAGATTTACACCTTATTTGCTTTCTTTTCCTTTCATTGTTTTTTTTTTTTTTTTTTGAAGGAGTTGAATATTTTACAAGGCCAAATTGTCACTCCATTAACCATCAACTCAAGTATTAATTGTAATTTACATTATTCGGACTATTGTCCTCATCTTTGTTGCCATATTTGTCACAATGTTTCAGCTGTTGTATGTTCCAGCTTTTTTCAGGTGGTTAGAATGTTAAACTGAACCCTTTATTTTGCTTGCTGAGGTAGACTGTTCTACTTCCACATGCCATGTCTAATAAAGGGTTCAGTTCGATATTCCAACCACCTGAAGAAGGCCTGAGCATACAACGGCCGAAACGATTGCGATAAATATAGCAACAAAGATGAGGACAATAGTCTGAATAATGTAAATAGTGTACATAATACCTCATCTCAGAAATATAGACAGATATTAATTCTAATATCCAGACTTGCTTCTTTCATTAAGGTTGGTAGTTTTCTTTCTCTTCATCAGGTGCAGGCTCACATTGAGTGACCTTCAATCCAGGTGTTGATCAGGCAAATGAATTCATTTTTTTTGTACTGCTTTTGTAATTATCTGAGATAAATAATTTAACAGCCTCATTTAATATAAGTATGATATCATCTGTGTAATTTCTGTTATTTGTGTGGGTCACACTGCTGGAAATGAGCTGATTCCTGACAAAAGATCTGTATGGAATTTGCACATGAAAAATTCTGTAGAATACCAAAAAGGATCAGTAATGTCATTGGTCATGACCTGGTATCTTATCTTCAGTCACTTTTCCACCACTGTGACATGGCTTCTCTCTGTCTTTTCTATAAATATTTTCATGATAATGGTTCTAATGAGCTCCCCTCCTAGGTACCACAACCATGTGAATTTAAGCACACTACTAGATTGTTTAATAAGTCTCATCGATTTATTGTTGCAATAGCTAGGTATAACAGTTCTATTTTAATAGTTTCATTCCTCAAACTTCAGTCAGTTATGTGTGATACATGCTTAGGTGATCATGTATCTTTCAATCCATGACTGACGAGGCAGATTTTTTTCCCCTGCAGTAGGCTGCCATTTCTTTCTGCGGTAGACCAGTTGCCATCCAAAGCTATAGAACCTGGTCTTTCCTGCTATTTACCCATAGCTAAGAGAAGAAGAACAGGATTCATACCTTTCCCAAGGACACATAAATGAATATAATAAATTTGACTGGAATTTGAACTTCGCTCTCTGATTCCTCAATCTGAGCTACAATCAAACATCACATCTCTCAAACTTCTCATTTCCTGCTTCCCTGTCACCTATGTTCTTTCTAAAATTCAAATGCAATGTCAGTCGCCATCTTGTGTTTTCCTGAATTCCTGTTCTTCTATTGTCCTTTCTCCTCACTAAAGTCTTCTCATTTTCTCCCACGCCCAGCAATTCCTTGTCTCTTAGTGGCGTTATTGCCTTGTT